GTCTGACTGTTTTTATCCTTGTGTTGTGGCATACTTGAAATAGTTCATGATGTGAAAATAGAAAATAGTCTATGATCTGGATTTAATGTGTTTGTAGCCTGTTCTGGATATCATCATGATCATCATCAGTCTTGGCCCTTTTGTATTCAGATATTGCAATATCAAGGTCACATTTGTCCAGCCAGGTTGCCAAATCTGGAATCATGCCTCCATACTTGTCCAAGTTGTGCAGCTTCTTGCATAGTTCACAGTAAGATGCTTTCTTGGTCTTCATGGAGAACCGATGAAATGTGTACCCTTCCTTGTTCTTGAGATACTGCAGGTAGGCAGTGTCATTAGACTCAAGGTAGTTCAGATGGTCCCCGAGTTCTTCCACAGAGTTGAACTCTTCAGCATCGATGTAGGTTCCTGGAGGAAAGAGCTGACTATGGTTCCCGGCTCCGCGGACAACCGGCACAATATCATTTTTCAGACCATTGCTTAGCTTCTCAGAGATGTAATCAAGACAAAATGAATTCTCAAACGCTATTAAAAATTTGTAGCTTTCATACATGCCTTCACAGTCCTGGCAACGAAGAGTTCCACATTTGCCAAAAATATCCACCCTGTAGGTCTTGTTCAACATGCGGATGTAATCATCCCTCCTAGAAACTGCTTGGCAGTGAGACACAACCCACATTGCTTTCTTTGTTTTCTGAGCCAGAACTGAATCATATTCTCTCCTATGTGGTTCTGTGTCCTTTTCTACAGTAATGTAAGGCAGGACAATATCGGAGTCGTGTCTGTAAGTCATCGTCCAGTTAAACAGACCTCTCCAGTCGTCTCTTGTCCAGGCAGACCTCGAGGTATAAGGTGGTGGTTCAATGCTTAGAAAGATCCAGATCTGATCTTGGTTTTGCCTTGATGGAGGTGTTTGATCCCTGAGGAGGTAAGGATTAAACATGATGGCGTCTAGGTGTTCAATGTTGTTCTTGAAGGCTGCAGTTGTGTTTATGCTGCAACAAGAGTACTCGCAGTCCTGAAACATCTCTTGACCAGGATAATCCATTAACCATAAAGTCAGGTCATAAAATCCTATATATTTCATACCAGTTGTGCTGCATCTGTCGGAACCAAGAACATCCTCATCCTGTGGAATTGGCAAAGAATCATTCTCGTAACGATAAATCTTTTCAGACTTTTTCTCCAACGATGAATCATACATAGAGTTTTGCTCTTGAGAGAGATCCTGAAAAGAAGTAGACTCAGAAAATGATGTTCCTTTGATGTGTTGTTCAATGTCTATCGTTTTGTTCGATGAAAGTAAGTTTGATGTTTTGTTCAGAAACAGGTCAGACTTATTGGTAGATGCAGTCAAGCCAGACCTCTGGGTGGAATTTCCCTCAGATATGTCTGATACAACTCCATTTTGTTTTTTTTGAAAGTCATCTTGGGTTTTAGATAGCCTGTCTTCCTGAAAAACTTTCTTTGAAATGGATACTTGATCTTGTGCACCAGAGGATTTGGCGAGGATTGTATGTGAAGTGATGCTTTGTCCAGAGATCCCAGTCTGTTCATTGTTTCCATGTCTGCCAACAAGGCTGTCTCCTTGTTCCTGTTCTGATAGAGTTTTTGTCTGCTCTTCTGACGAGTCCTCGATGCTGTCTTTGACATACATAATTTTATCTTGGAACAAACTCATCCTGTGAAGTAGTAAGATTGTTGTCAAGGATGTTGCCGCAAGGATCCCGAGAGTGTCAGGGCAAAGTTCCTCAGCATCCTCTGGGATCTAAAAAGACATTCATGTCTGTATGAATTATGGTCTTTGAGAGGCATTTTAGATGTGTGTTCATTATGATTAAGAGATAGTGGGTATTAAAGGAGCCATTACACTCGCATGTGTTATACTGACTGTATGAACCCTTTTAAGAATATATGTATTACCCTTGATCTCTCACATCAAATACAAGAATTGTGACACTCATTTCATAAAATCAGTGCAAGAAGTCAACTTCTTTATTGCAATGAGTGCAACATTTTGGTGTAGGTACTTATCAAGCAAGCACTCGCACTCATTGCATTGAAGAAGTTGACTATCCATAGAACTTGGTTTTCCTTCTGTATGAAGTAGAACCAGGTCACTGCTAGACAACATCAAGTGACTCCATCTTATCTGAATGAATGGGCTTTTGTTGAAATAAAGGAATTGTTGAAGAATTTGGCATTTATATGAGCTTTGGTCATATTTAAAATACAAGTTTATTATCCTCATATGGGTCTTTTACTGATTTTATGAAATGAGTGTCAGAATTCCTGTATTTCATATGAGAGTAATAGGCCTAAGGGTAATGCATAAATTCTTACTACCCGTGAAGATCTGGGTTAGAATATTGATCTTCAGTAACCCATGCTTGTAGTAAGAGGCGACTTACAGGATCGGGTGGTCAGGCTCGCTGACTTGGTTGACACATGTCATCAGTTCCCTATTGCGTAGATCGATGCTCATGCTGTTGATCACTGGATTGTCTGGTCCAGACTCGATTATTTACAGACCGCCACCATATAGCTGGAATATTGCTGAGTGCGGCTTAAAACTAAACTCACTCACTCACTCATAAATTCTTACAAAGGTTCATACAATATGTATAACACATGCGAGTGTAATGGCTCCTTTAATACCCATTGTCTTTTAATTGTAATGAACATCCTTTCCCAAAAAGAATCATGACTGCTGCTTTAGAAAACCACAGTTGCTGAATGACATCAACAATCTTCACCCTTGATGTCATTCGGACCTTATGTCCTGGTGAGATTCTATAGACATCAACAATGCCACCTGGATGATAGGTACAGTACAATGGTGCATGTATAGTGATATTTACTCTTTTACATACAATTTCAAGGAACTTATTTCTTTCTTATCACATGGGATGTATAGCATATGGAAAATTCACATCAGCCTGACAAATTTCTCTTCTTGTTTTGTTAATGAGCCTCATTGACATGTTGGGATTGTTTTAGAATTATGATTGTCTTTTCTTGTAAATAGACTTTCCTTTCTAGGATTTAAATAATAAACCCCCCAAATATGAAGAATCAATTTTTTTTGTACCTCTAAATGTTAATGTGAGTCAGTTATGCTAAATTGTTCACTTTAAGGCCATTTGAGTGAGTGAGTGAGTAAGTATTGCTTTACCCGCTTTACGCCGCTGTTCCAGCAATATCACGGCAGTTGAAACCTGAAATGGGCTTCACACATTGTGCCCATAAGGCCATATGGTTTTTATGTATTGTTTAAAGGTTAGAAAACAAAACAAAGGCCTACCTTGTCCAGTTAGTTTGTGTTATAGTGGTGAGTCCAGTTGTGTAGGATCTGTGTGTTCAGTGGCCACAGCAGCTGGATGTAATCTGGCCATCTGTTTATAAGTGAGTGGACAGTGGACAATTAACTGGACAAAAGGTGTCTGGGAGCCGAAACAGTGTTCTTGATCTTAATCTTGATGTCGTGTTAAGATGATTAAGCAACAGGTGCATTTGAATATAGTCATGGATTTGTTCCAAAAGTAATGTTGTTGCAACAGATTGGGGAATTCTATGATGAAGGATGGCAAGCTGAATCGGTGATGGCTTCTGAAAGCTCATTAGATGGATTGATGCTCATGATATTAATCACTGGATATTCTGATCCAGATTATTTACATACAAGTGAATGGTATAAATATTCACCATTATGAAACATTACTATTATTTCTTGGACTTTCTGATGGTGTTTGTTTTATAATGCCACATTGAGCTATAATATAACATTAGAAACAAAGTGACAGCTGTCTTTTTGCTGATGGATGGGAATAATATGTCATCTTTGCAAGTTATTAGAAACATGGATGTTATTTGAAAATTAAACACCACAGTTTCAATAAAGAAGTGTCAGACAAAACATGGGTTGTCACGAAGACAACCTGACTGTCTGCTCCTTCAGTCTTCTCAAGATAGATCACATGCAATGTGTCCCTGTACCAAGTGCATGAGGAGTCTGTTCACTGGTCAATATCCCCTTGTTGATATGATTCAAAAGGCTTAAGTCTACACACAATTAGCAGGCTATGTGTTGCTGTACCCTCCAGCCATGACAGATTAACTTTAGTTTTATGAACAAATCTGGTGTTCTTTAAGTACTTTTGAGTGGTATAATGAAAAGTATATGTTGAAGCATGCTAATATCACCAGTGTTAGTTCAGTTCTATATCACTTTCAGCAATATTCCATTAAAACAAGTAAGGGGGGCACCAGAAATAGCCATAATAAATTGTTTGTATTGCTGGAACACAACTCACTTATCTTTTTGGGGCGGTGGGGTCGCCTTGTCGTTAAAGCGTTCGTTCGTCTCGACGAAGACCACGGTTCGATTCCGCACATAGGTAGGTGTGAAGCCCATTTCTGGTGTCCCCCCAATGTGATATTGCTGGAATATTGCCAAACTAAACTCAATCACTCTTATCTTCGTATTTCAGTGCAGTGACTTTTCAAGATTTGTTCATCAAACTGAACATGCTGAATGAACTGGATCAAAGCTTTAAGATTTAAATGACTTTATTGCAGGAGGTGTTATCAAGGCTTTCTTCTTCATGGCTCCATGTTTACTTCTTTAAGTGGCATTTAGAAGCTGGTATGATGAAGAGCAACAAGCTTTATGGACTGACAACTTCTTTATTACAATAGATGCAATATTTCGGTGTAGATCCTTGTCCATAATGTTTTGTATCACTTGTTAATAGTGTTACCATCTACACTGAAACATCACATCTATAAAGAGGTTGTCAATCCATAAAATTTGTTCATCCTGATCCATGTTAGTTATGATTTTTGCCAGTAGGAGTTTAATGAGTTAGCGCTAGAAATCCAGATTCATTTCCTTTAATCCTTTGACTCCTATTTGGTACAAAAGTCTGCTCTTTGTACTGACGATTCATGAACTTATTTATAGAAGATACTTGCAGTTATGGTTGAATTTTGCGTTTCAGTGCAGATTGTGTAAAGCTGTGTACCACAAGACCTGCATGACGGAGAACCTACCCTGCCCCAAGTGTCTGCGCTGGAGACTCCGCAAGTCCAGCTTCGGGGCAAGTCCAGCCGACTCCGAGGACTACGCCTTCACCCCACCTTGACCTTCTGCTCCACTAGCCTTCACACAGGAGGGTCTTCACTTTCCTCCACACCAAGAGTTGTCTTTGTGTCAATCAGTGCCCATCTTCATCCTCGTCATTTAGTGTAGCATGCAATTGTCAAACTTTCACACATTTACATGGGAGAGGAGTGAGCCGTTCAGGGAATGTAGGGATGTAGAGAACGTACTGTGGATATTGAGGAGGATGTTTGCAGAAACCCATTGAACTTCCTTGTTTCATTGTGTGGTCATACAAGTGCTTCATACTGTCCATGCTTTCTGTGTGGGTATCTAACAGATGTCTGTATGTTTAGTGTGTGAAGTTACTGTTGCTGGTGCTAGCACCCAGACATTCTGAGTCATTATTGTAGAAATGCAAAGATTATGACTCCATTTATATTGCCATGTTTGAAAAATATAGGGGGATATAGTCTGTAGGTCAGGCCATCTGTCCGCCTTTCGTTTCTGTTTTGAGGGCATAACTACTAAACTGTTGAATATTTCTGGATGAATCTTCCTATACAGATTAGTTAAGGGGTGAACTGGTGCCTTTTTATGATTTGTGACATTGAAAAATATTGATCATTATTCACTTCACTGAACGGAAAGTACACAATGACAATGAACCAAAGATGGGGCACATGTAACCATTTCTGATTGCACCAAACCGTGGGATATGTCCAGATGACTCTTGACAAATATGGAGATTAATGTTTGTATTTGTCCAAACCAGTAGCTTTAACACAGCTTTCATTGTTTAGTCTGTCTGGTTCATTTCTTGAATGTGATATGTAAACAGGCATCAGGACTTGTTTCATCAGTCCAGCTGTCCTTGTGCTAACAACTGCCATGTGTAATATTTTGGACATGACGTACGTTTTGAGTGGATTTTCAGAATATTTAATTATTTTCAACCTGCAGACAGTCATAATACTCATTTCATTGTTTCAGGGTTGTCATGTCTAGCCTGATATTTGGTACTGCTATGCTTAATCTGAAACACTAGTGATGAAGCTAATAGGTCAAAGTGGTAATTCGTAGTCGCCGAGAATTGGTCAGTTTGGTGTATTTGGGGGCAACAGTTTTCCTTTCAACAATAAACCAACATAACTACAAATCTGCAACACAAACAACAATAGCAGTATTGGCAATGCATTATTTAGACAATAACTAACAAGTTATTGGGAATGACAGATTAGCCAAGGCTCGAGAATTACGTAATTAATATAACTCGGGGGGAAAGACAATCTGTCATTACAAGTCACATGTTAGTTATTGTCTACTTCTAGCACTGACAGTTCTTCAGACAATTGGCACCAGGTTATGCCATCATGTTGTAGAGCGAGTGATGTCTGTATTGTCGCCCAAGGCTTGTGTGGTGGTCAAGTCCGTCTTGCTGGTACTGTTTGGTCCTTTGAATATTTTTGAAACAACATCTAATGAATACAGTCTTCAAAACCATTAGTAAATCTTGTTCAGATTCATTTAAATGTATAAGATGTATATCAGACACTCCTCATTAGACCACCATATGTCCTCTTACCTTCTAAGAGTACTGAATGCAGTATTGAATGCAGTCTTCAAAACCATTAGTAAATCTTGTTCAGATTCATATAAATGTATAAGATGTATATCAGACACTCCTCATTACACCACCATATGTCCTCTTACCTTCTAAGAGTACTGAATGCAGTATTGAATGCAGTCTTCAAAACCATTAGTAAATCTTGTTCAGATTCATATAAATGAATAAGACATATATCAGACACTCTTCATTACACCACCATATGCACTCTTACCTTCTGAAACAGATGTGATGTTTTGATAATACACAGTTTGTAAACACATCCTATGGCCTGTTCTACCAATTCCATCATAATGATTTGTCAATATGTTTTAGTACGTCAATCAATACAATCAATTCTTAACATCATTATTCATTACCAGACCTGTGTTTATAAATTACAAGAAACAAACAAACCATAAGTTTTTTTAAAAAGATTCAATATTTTCACTCTGGTAACCATGGTTACCCTGACGATTTCATGAACAAATATTTGTTTGGGTCACAATATTTTCTTTTGATTTTTCCTATAAAAAAATATAACAGTGTTTGTGCTTAATTTGTTTCACTCCCTTAACCACATCAACCATAAATATGTTTAGGGGCGGTTGGGTAGCCTAGTGGTTGAAACGTTTGCTCGCCACGCCGAAGACCTGTGTTCGATTACCCACATGGGAACAATATGTGAAGCCTATTTCTGGTGTCCCCCACCGTGATATTACTGGAATATTGCTAAAACAGTAAAGTATTGGCAAACCACAAGTAGACTCGCTGGTTATAACTTCATCTGGCCCCAAGTTGGTCATACATGCTGAGAGAATCTTTACGGGTGGGTACCGTGGGGGGAGCGTAGCCTAGTGGTGAAAGCATGTGAATTATATCTAACTAATAGAAATACTTTCTTCTGCCAGTTGTAACCATGGTAACTATTGCTTCAATCAATGAACTGACTGGACATGTTGGTGAACATTCTGCACCCAGGCACATCTTTAGATTGGCTCTTTGAAAAATGTTGCTGGGATTCCTTTGGTTAACAGTCATAATTCTAGTGCTTTTTCCAGATTGTATTGTGGGGTGGTGGAGTAGCCTAGTGGTAAGAGCGTTTGCTCATCACACCGAAGATCCCGGTTCGATTCTCCACATGGGCACAATGTGTGAATCCCATTTAAAGTGTCCCCTGTCGTGATATTGCTGGAATATTGCTAAAAGCTGGGTAAAGCAATACTCACTCACTCACTCAAATTGGCCTTGGGAAAACCGCTTAGACATTAAATGTGAATTGTTTCACTCTTGTTATTTCTTTTAAAGCTTTTAAGCTCATTGTCCTTATATGTGGGAATTTTATTATTCAGAAAACAGGTCAAGGTGCCATATGCCGATTATTTATGTATTTATTATGTGCTGAAATATTTTAGCCCACTGTTAGTCATCTAACATTTATATGATTTCCTTGTTTAAGAGTTCATGTCAAACAGTTTGACAGTGAGGAAACTTGGGGATACGTTTTAAGCCATTACTTCCTTGTTAATTTTGGAGATTTAACAACAATGCATTTTGTGAAAAAAATATCACTTTTAACCAGATTGAACCCATATATATAATTTCTTTTATTTTCTATTTGTGCACCTGTAAAATGTTTATGTATGTGTAAAGTATGCCATATATGTCATGACCCAGCTTCCACTGGGAAGAATACAACTTGGACACATCGGTGTTGAATCAGGTTCATGGTGGGATCAGGTCTCATGACCTCTGCATCTTCATCTTTTTAACAATCTATCTTTGATTTTAAATGATATTTAAATTGTAAATGGCAACACAAGCTATGAATTTTGTTGTGTGTACAGAAATCATGACTGTCTTTCACCTGTTGCAGAGTAAGCGGGGATCTCTCTATATAGCCCTTGTTCTGGCTTTGCAGGATCAATAAATATATTTATATCTAGACTCTGTGGGTTTTCTCTCCAGAAGCTGAAGGTTGTATGATCCTCATGTTTGTGTTTTTGTGTGTCTAGAAACAGTGACTGACTAGTTCCAGTGCTTGTCCATTTGAATGCAATTCTGATGTAAATGGAATCTGTTCAAAGCAGTGATAAAACCAATGAACTCACTCACTCAATGAATTGAAAAGATGAAATTTAAGACCAGAAGCCACTACAAACTAACCAAACACTTCTCTTTAATATGTAGCTAATTATAGTTTCAGTCTTACAGGACATCAAGTATATTGCGATCGGAGATTTAGAGGCAAATGTAACGATGACGTAAAATTCATCCATGCTAAGACATTTATGATCATTGTATTGTACTGGATTTATCATGATATCCATGACCCATGAAGGACTGGATTAGAATCAACCTTCAGTAGCCCATGCTTGTAGTAAGAGGCGACTAACAGGATCGGGTGGTCAGGCTCTCTGGTTTGGTTGACACATGTCATCGGTTCCCAACTGTGCAGGTCGATGCTCATGCTGTTGATCACTGAATTGTCTGGTCCAGACTTGATTGTTTACAGACTGCTGCCATATAACTGGAATATTGCTGAGTGCGGCATAAAACTAAACTCACTCACTCATGATATCCATGTTTGAAAAGGAGGTGCACTCCTGAAAATATTGTTATTACTGAATTTGCTGTTACACTTTCCCCAAGCCAGTCATGTAGCTTCGTTTGAACATCATGAAGCGGGAAGGTTCACATGGGGCGTCAAGAATGGTCTGTTTTTGTGTTTATTTTGATGCACTTCATTCTGCATGTTGCACTTAAAGATCTATACAGGGATTTTTAGGATGCTTCATCTATTTATTAGTTTTCCACTGCCTGTTGGGTGCGATGTTCTTTCTTTCTTTGTTCTTTAACACCGCTTCTTTCCAGATCCATGACAGCAGTCTGTAAATAATCGAGTCTGGACCAGACAATCCAGTAATTGGCATCATCTGCATCGATCTACGCAACTGATACGATGATATGCATACAAGTCAGTGAGCCTGAGCACCAGATCCATTAGTCTCCTCTCACGACAACCATGGGCTTCTGAAGACCAGTTCTAACCCGTTCTAACTGTTTAACAGTGATTCATAAACACGCTCCTGATAGAGTTGTCCATTCATCAATATCCAGGGGAACGGCAGCACAGGGTTACATTTACTTTGTGTGTTAACAACTTAACGTGTCAGATCATTTTCGATCTGTTCTTGGTAGCATATGCATGTATTGGTCAATAAAACATATTTGTTGCTCGGGGGTTCCATACAAAATCTTGGCCTGGCTCTCTGCCCCAGAATTTATTTCAACTGATATGCTATCCCCCAACGTATGAGGATGCTCTCCCCACATGCATTGTTCAGTCATTAAATGACAACAGGGAACAATAGCTGCAGAGTGTGTTCTGCTGCTATGACAGTGTTGCGCTTCCCTGCTCAGTGTTAAATCAGTGATACATGTATATGGTCCACAATAATTCCGAGTAGAGTTGGAGTGGAAAATGAGACATAAGAGAAATATCCTGGGTCCCACTCCCAAAGTGTAGCGTTACTAGCTGCCGTAAGGATATAGTTTGTCACTGGCTCACGACTATATCGTAACTCTACGAATGCTTTGTGGATTGGGCCCAAGGGGCATAACAATGTTTGGTTTTAGTGCCCACAACTTAAGTTTGCAACATAATAAGCCCCAATATGGTTGACACTATTCGCCTAATTATTTAGAAGTGACCAACTTATATGTTATCATAGGCTAGCTTAGATCCCGCACGCACCCCTTTCCTTAGAACCCCGGCCCCCCGTTTGTATATTTTCAACGTGCATATTATTCACGGTCTCCCCTCTTATACCTCTACTTTTCTCTGTTGTAAAATTCAATTACTCTACGTCACAGAAAGGTGGTCATCAACGTGTTAGATAACTTCGGGCACAGGTACTCAACTGGACAAGGTGGTGCCGAGGTAGTCTGTCTCACAGTCCCAGAACCATATTATTTTCCCTTCTGCACACCCCTCACAGTAACCCTTAGCCCTGAATGAAGCAAGTCTAAATTTTCCCCAGGTTCAGATTCACCAATCACACCAGACGTTCTTTCATTTTAAAGTAATTGCTTGTTTCTATCACAAAATATATTTTTTTCAGGGACTAATGGTGGAGACCAGATGACCCATGGTGTCGCCCGTACCCCACAGGAGGACTGCCAGAGAGATCGATCGGAGTGGTCAAGACGTACGGATGAGGGCAGAGTTGCACACAGCGATCTTAGCGCTAAGAATGTCTAAAGTCAATGTTAGTTGGTTCGTCGTTTAACGCCGCACTCAGCAGTATTCCAGCTATATGACAGCGGTCTGTAAATAATCGAATCTGGGCCAGACAATCCAGTGAGCAACAGCATGAACATTGATCTACCCAATTGGGATACGATGACATGTGTCGACCAAGTCAGCGAGCCTGACCACCCGATCCCGTTAGTCGCCTCTTACGACAGGCATGGGTTACTGAAGATAAATTCTAACCCGGATCTTCACGTGTAAATGTCCATGTTAGAGTATGGGCGTCACTATTATCGTAGCGCTAAGTTCGCTTGATGCAACTGGGCCAAATTCCGGCCAGGATTGCAGAATCCGCTTCTGTGTTACTGACCACCACCGGACATTCTCGTCAAGGCGGCTTTATTATTGCATGTCTGAAAATGTAAATGTCACATGAATAAAAAAAATGTCAAACAACATCCGTTATCGTTTTAGTAGTAATGTTAAAAGCACCAAAGCGACCAGACAGAGCATGTCTGTACAACAATGGTTTAAAGAAATTTTTGAGATAAACATTGATGCACGGTCATTTCTTTGTTGTATGTCGTTGGCTCCTCATGTTTTGTTGTGTTGGTTCAAGATGACCGAAGCTGTATCCTTGTTATTTAGTTAAAATAGGCCCCGGTCTAAACTGGTTCTATTTTCTCAGTAAGGTGGACAGGATCCCAGTCAAGCCTAACAGGCCTACCATATAATTACAAACAGCGAACAAATCCTCGAAACTGAACTGAAATACACCAAAACAAAACACAAATAATAATAAGAGTGAGTATTTATAAAGCGCTCTATCCATCCACAAGGTGCATGCTCACAGCGCATAAAATGAGAGAAAAGACACAGGTAGTGAAATAATAGTATGAAATAAAACGTATGAATGATGGCCTGAAATAAAGCCTATGAATAAAAGCCTGAAAATAGTTGCGTCTTAAGTTTTGATTTGAATACAGTTAATGATGATGAAATGATGATGATGTCCAGAGAAAGTTTGTTCCATAGTCGAGGAGCTACATGGCTAAAAGACTTCTGTCCATTGCTGGTAAGATTATACTATCGTGTGTTCAGAAGATTCAGATTTTGAGATCGAAGAGTCTTTATAGGGATGTAGTCTTCTAGCATCTTAGAAAGATATGATGGTGCCATATCATTTTGACATTTGTACACCATACACAGAATTTTAAAGTTGATTCTCGCTTCAATGGGAAGCCAATGCGAATCCTTAAGAACTGGCGTTATGTGCGATGATTTTGGTGTTCTCGTCACTCTCCTGGCAGCAGTGTTCTGGACGTTCTGGAGCTTGTACAGCTGACGTTTACTGATTCCTATCAGTAAGCTGTTACTATAGTCAAGTCTAGAATGAACAAGCATTTGCACAAGTCTTTTAGGGGCATCTCGTGTTATGAGATGGCGTATTTGACTGATACAACGGAGATGGTTGTAACACGTTTTACAAAGTTTATCTATTTGCAGTTCCATAGTAAGCTGAAAATCAAAGATGACGCCATGGTTTCTCACATGGTCAGCAAAGGGATTGAAGCATTTCCAACTTCAACAGAGGTAACAGGAATGTCACGCAAATCATGTTTAGTGCCTATCAACAAAACCTCTGTTTTCTCATCATTTAGCTTCAACATATTAGATGGCATCCAAATCATCAAAATAGGGAAGTAAACTTCTAAAACCGCAACAATTTCCTCCAAAAACTGAAACAAATGCATGATCTGCAATGGAAAACTAATCGTTTGAAATGGAATCAAAACTGGCGGATCAGCTACAAGAGCGGCCGTGAACGGTCGCCAAGCGTACAAAACATCCGAACCGACCTAAAAATCGTCAATCATCGACTTTCTTTAATTTCTTTCGTTTATTAAAAAAATGGCATTACACGGAAGGTCGTTTAGTATCCTCTATATACGACACTTCTCGCACCCTAATCGATCCAGTCTGTCAATCAAAAGTGGCGCATGCGTCAGTTTTGGCCAATCAGCAAGCCGGGTGCGCTTTGTGGATTTGTCAGCCATTTTTCTGGGGTCAGACGATGCCTCAGAAGCGATGTGCTTCCAATTATGCCATTCACACTCGCGATATTTATAACGTATTGTTGCGATTTGATGTGTACCTTTAACAAAACCATTAAGGTCAAGACAAAAGATTTGAGGCAGATCAAGGCGTGCGATAGACCTCACTATCAGTTAAATGTTGGCACCATCGTTCACGAAACCTACGCCTGCTCGAAGGTGAGAATTGCACGAATTTGCAAACATGTGCAAAATCATTACCAATAGATGATAACAAATAGCAGTTTAAGACTCTGCAAGTGTTATCAACACGGACAATTGTTGTAACTACGAAATTGATTTTGATTAACTCACTCATAAAATTGTTCCCAATCAGTAACGCGATGAGCATTTGGGGGGCCAAATAACAAACACATAAAATGATATTTAAATCTGAATTACATTTTGACGACAGCTCATACCATCGTCACTTCCAAGCGCTTCCTCTTGAAGAAGGAGCCAACACCGCCAGAACTCTTTTGTTTACATGTCGGTTGTTTCCCAACCAAGAATATTCCTTAAAAATACATTCATGAGTTAAAAACGTTTAACATATTCAAAACAAACCAACGTCTGCATTAACACATTTTCTCTGAACT